TGCTGGTCCTTTGGCATGTTTCTTTCTTTTCCTTTTTTTAAAAAAAGAATTCTGTATTTAATTTTATTTATACTTATTATTTTAATTTGCTATAGGGCATGTGTGCTCACCAGAGAGAGAGAAAGGAAGAGAAAGTGAGAAAGCAAGCTGTCAGGTCCAGTACTCAAACTGTGGTTGGCTATGTAGGAATCCAGCACCTTAACCACCATGCCATCTGTTGGTCCCATGTTTCAAAAAAAACTTTTTTTTTTTTGGAGAGATTTTTGCTGTGGGGTGCATGTGCTTGTCAGAGAAAGACAGAGATAGACAAGCAGAAAGCAAGAAATCACCCCCGGGGGGTGGGGGTGGGGGTGGTGGCCACACCACAGTCCCTTTCTCTTCCATTCTCCTCTCGGGATTTTGGGCATATATGCATACGGATCCACCATGAGTTTTAAGCCACCGGGTCTGGGACTCAAACTGCGGTCAACTACATGGGAGTCCAGCTATATAATCATTATGCCATCTGCTGGTTCCTCAAAAACTTTTTGTGCCTAAATTAACTTGTACTTTAATTCCATTTTCCCACAAACTTTTTGAAGTCCCCTCATATATTCATGATATATTGTTCTATAGATTTTTTCCCCCCTTGTAATTCTGGTGTTGATAGTAGAGTAATGCTGGCCTCATAAGGGTGAGTTTGAGGTGTTCCTTTCTCTTCACTTTTTTAGCAGTGTTTTAGAGAACTGGTGTTATTAGTTCCTTGAACATTGGGTACAATTTCTCAGCAAAGTCATCTGGGCTTAATGTTTTCTTTGTGGGAAGGTTTTTAACTAAAAATTGAAATTTCTTAATAGATACATGACTATTCAGGTTACCTATTTCTTCTTGAATGAGCTTTGGTAATTCTATCTTTCAATGAATTTGTCCATTCCAAGATGTCAACTTTTTTATGATAGAGTGGGTGCATGTGCACATGATAGTGACGGAGAAACGAGGGAGGGAGAGAGACGAGCACCCTCCAAATGGCCTGGTCAAACTGCTGTCCTCTTCCTCCAGTCCTCCAGCCTGTTGGATCCAGGGCACTTCTGCCTGTCCCCAGCATGTTCCAGGCTGACTGGGTCAGGAATGTGAACCACAGTTGCCATGTGGGATCTGGCTTCTCTTGAACAGTGCATTACCAGTGCCATGGAGCCAGTCTCCTGAGTCGTCACATTTATTGGCATAATAAAGTTATTCATAGTTTTTATTATTCTATTAATGTGTGTACAATCTGTAATGATGTTGCCTTTTTCATTCCTTTTAATTTGTGTCTTTTTTCCAGATCCATTTGCAAGAAATTTATTAATTGATCTTCCCAGATAATAAGTTTTTGGTTTAATTTTCCCTATGGTTTTTCTGCTTTCTAGTTCATTGATTTCTGCTGTCATCTTGACTATTTCCCTTATTTTACTTTGAGTTTTTTTTTTTTTTTTTTCCTGAGAGGTTTTTGCTATAGGGCATGTGTGCTCGCCAGAAAGACAGAGACAGAGACACAGAAAGCGAGAAATCACCCCCCCCAGGTGGGGGGGTGGATGGCCACGCTGCAATCTCTTCTTCTCCATTCTCCTCTCGGGATCTTGAGCACTCACACACATGAGTTTAAGCCACTGACTCCATAGGACCCACGTTTGCTGTAGGACACAGGTGCTCATCAGAGAGAGAGAGAAGGGGGAAAATGAGAACGCAAGCTACCAGGTCTGGTACTCGAACCACAGGTCAACCATGTGGGAGTCCAGTGTCTTAATCACCACACCACTTGCTGATCTTGCTGCATGAATTTTTACTAACTGTTGCTAGGAGCATGCACATTTACCGTTTGTATGACATTTCATGATTTTACTGATTTATCACTATGAAATGATACTTTTTATCTCTGGTAATATTCTTTGTTCTGAAATGTACTTTGGCTGATTTTTTTTTTTTTGGAGAGGTTTTTGCCATAGGGCGGTGCGCTCGCCAGACAGACAGAGACCAGAGACAGTGAGAGAGAAAGAGAGAAATCACTCCCCAGGGGGAATGGCCACACCGCAATCCCTTCTCCTCCATTCTCCTCTCGGGATCTTGGGCACACACGCACATGCACCCGGCATGAGTTTAAGCCACTGGGTCCGGAACTCGAACCACGGTCGACTACATGGGAGTCCAGCGACCATAGCCATTATGCTAACTGCTGGTCCTGGCTGATTTTTTTTCTTTTTAAAGAGAGATATTTTGCTATAGGGTACATGCACTCATCAGAGAGACAGAGAGAGAAAGCAAGAAATCACATCCCGGGGGGATGGCCATGCCACAATCCCTTCTCCATTCTCTTCTTGGGATTTTGGGCATGCACACACATGTGCTTGGCATGAGTTTTAAGCTACCAGGTCCAGGACTCAAACCATGGTCGACTGCATGGGAGTCCAGTAACATAACCATTACATCATCTGCTGGTCCCAGGCTGATGTTAATATATCCTCTCTAGATTTCTTACTTATTTATTTTACTTATTATTAACTTGCTACAGGGCATGTGTGAGACAGAGAGAGACAGAGAAAGAGAGAGAGAGAGAAAGAAGGAAAGTGAAAAAGCAAGCCACCAGGTCCAGGACTCGAACCACGTGACCGGCCATGTGGGAGTCCAGTGCCTTCACCACCATACTAACTGCTGGCCCCCAGGTTTTTAAAAATTAGTCTTAGCAGGATGTATCTTTCCTCATCACTTTACTTTTAACCTATTTGTGTCTATATTTGAAGTGTTTCTTCTAGGTAGCATGTACTTGGGCCTTGCTCTTCTTTTTAACCCATCTTGACAATCCCTGCCCTATTGTATTATTTTTATTTTTTAAATTTGCTATAGGGTATATGTGCTTGCTGGAGAAAGAAAGAGAGAAAGCGAAAAAAATCACCCATTGGAGGGATGATATGCCCCAATCCTTTCTCCTCCATACTCTTGAAATTTGAGGCATACCCCCTCCCCCCACCCCCCCACCCTACACACACACGCCTGGTGGTGGTGTTTTCCTAAGCCACAGGATCTAGGACTCAAACTGGCAGTTGGCCAAATACAGAATCCAGCCTTCAGCCACCTTAAAAATCTAGCTGGCCTGAATCCCTGCCTTTTAATTGGGATGCTCAGAATATTTACATTTAATGTGATTATTGATCCGGTTGAGTTTAAATCTACCATGTTATTATTTGTCTTAAATTTGTCTCATTTCTTCTTTCCTCCTTTTTCTACCTTCTTTTGGATTAATTTAAAAACATTATTTGTCTCTTTCATTGTCTTATTAGCTGTAATTCTGTTACATTATTTTAATGGTTGCTTTAGGATTTATACTAGCCATTGTCATTACCTAACTCCGAGGGACATCATATACCTCATCTGTAGTGAAAGAACCTTATAATACTTACATCCACCTTCCCTCCCCAGCCTTTGTTCTATCACACATTTTTAATTTTTCATTTCAGAAAAATGCCACCGCATATTGTTATTTTTGCTTTGCCCCTCCCCCCTTTTTCTTTTTATGATAGAAAGCATGTCCCCATGCGTGAAAGAAAGAGCAAGAGAGAGAGCTCAATACATGCCTTGATTCCCTTTCCTCAGCCCTCTAGCTCCTCCAGATTCTGGGCGCCTGGCATGTTTTTCAGGTTGACCAGGGATCCACACCACGGTTGCCACGTGTCTTCCAGCACTGCAGGGCACTGAGGCTACTGCTGTGCCACAGTGCCTGGGCCCATTTGTACTTTATACATTGACTATCTTTTAAAAATATTTACA